TGCCTTAGCACTGTGGTCCCCAGCCCCTGGGCTGAGGACCGGTGCCAGTCCGTGGCCTGTTAGGGACCAGGCTGCAGAGCTACCCCCCACCCCCACCCTGGAAAAATTGTCTTCCATGAAACTTAAGAAACAGGGGTCCACACAGCAGGAGGTGAGTGGTAGGCAAAGGCAAACAAGTGAAGCTTCACCTAAGCTACCCCACCCCCAGGTCCATGGAAACTGGTCCCTGGTGCCAAAAAGGTTGGGGACTGCTACCTTAGCAAATTGCCATACTGTGCTTCTTTCTTTGGATCAGCATCCAATATTTTATTCTTTGTGCTTTCAGTGTTATAAAACAGCAGTCCCCAACCTTTTTGGCACCAAGAACTGGTCTCATGGAGGGGTTGGAGGTCCACAGGGGATGGATGCAGAGCTCAGGCATTGATGCCAGCAATGGGGGGCAGCTGTAAATACAGATGAAGCTTCACTGGCTTGCCTTTTGCTCACCTCCTGATGTGTGGTCCTATTTCCTAAGTTTCATGGAAGACAATTTTTCCATGGATGGTGAGTGAGGGGGTGAGGGTGGGGAAGGTGGAGCTCAGGCAATGATGTGGCCCAGTTCCTAACAGGCCACAGACCAATACTTGGCCCGTGGCCTGGGGGCTGGGGACTACAGTTGTAAAATATCTCTGAGAGTTCCTTTAGTATGCAGTTTTTTGTCAGCATCACTTCCTCTAGGACAGGGGTGGGAAACCTTTTTATGTTGGAAGGCTACATTAATTTAGCTGTAATCAAATAAGGCTACATTCAAGAAACTTCCATTAGATATACTTAAAAATGTACATTATTTTGTAAAAGTCTGCTATGTACTTAATAATTTCCAAAAATGGAAACTATCTATTTTAAAATTAAGTAACCTTTTAATGACTTTGTTTTGTTTGCTTTTTGTTGGAAAGTATTTGAATGTTTGTTTGCAGCATGGAGGTCTGCAGTTTCAGTTGATCCTCTAGATTGGTATCACTCATTTGTGACCTTAAGGGCATTTTTATTTGGGTCAGATAGAAGAATGTAGATTCGCAGTAATAATAGTAAGAAAGCATTTTGGGGGCATGTTGCTGAAGGCATGGGTATTCTGTTTCATTTTTCCATATTTTAATGGGAACTTTCTTAGCATCAAACAATGACTTTAAAATGTCATCTACTGACAGCTCAATCAATTCCATCTGTAGTTTTTTAGGTGCCTTAGTGATTGATACCAATTAGGTGAGGCTGAAACGCTAATTTGGGTGTGATGTCATGATTCTCAAAGTTAGTGAACCTTTCATTGTATTCTCCAATTAATAGGTCTATAACAGCTGCATATTCTTCAGATGATTCACATGTATCATCCTGCTCATCAATGACCTTTGCTAACTGGGGAAAATGTTCATCTGAAATTTCCTTTTGAGGAAGAAGTGTTTTGAAAAAAGATAGCTTTTTTTGAAATGCTTGGATTTTTTTGTCATATATCACATGACAAGACTTAGTTTTACCTTGTAAAGAAATATTCATATTGTTTTGATTTGACGTCTGACACAGAAATGCTGCATTCCTATAGAACAGAACATTGCTGGTTCTGTTCTTCATAAAATTTAACTATTTGTTCTTGCAGAGATAAAATTTTGCCTAACACCTGTCCCTGCGATAGCCAGCGCATTTTAGAATGATATGGCAAATCCACTCTGAGTTCCTCATCCTTAAACTTTAGCATGTTAGGAAATTGATCATGCCACTGTGTTGCATTTGCAAGAATATAGTTAACAATACTTAATAACTTGTTGCAAAGTGTCACTTAAAATAGTAGTTTTAGCACAGATTTTGCTGATGTAAGATATAATGAAAAGAAATGAGAACATCTGGATCTATTAATACTTTTTTTATCTGTGCAATAAACCCTTAATGTTTTCCTGCCATGGAAGGTACACCATCTATACATATACTCACTAAATTTACCAAATTCAGTCCAACTTCATGACATTTATCTTGAAAGTAGTCGAAGATATCCATTCCCTGTGTTCTATTTGCAACAGTGCCCAAAGCAAGTAACTCTTTGTAGCAAAGAAATTCTTTTCTTATGACCTGAATGAAGTATAAAACCTGTGCTGAATCAGTCGTATCAGTTGATTCATCCAAAATGATTGAATAATATATATTTTCCTTTTGAAGTATTGCATGAAGTTGTTCAGTTAAGTTGAATGCTAATTCATGCTGCCAGTCAGTTATGGTTCTCCTTTCAAAGAGGCACTTGTTTGTAGTTTGAAACGTTTTTGGGGTTTAAGCATCCTAGAACTTCAACAATGCATTCTTTCACAATTTCTGCATCACTGAATGGCTTCCCCTTTTTCCCCCCCGAGTATATAAGCTACTTTATAAGTTACTTCAGTGGCATTATTTCTAGGTCTTATTGCTGCTTGAAAGAATTGTCTTTGCTTTTGCTTTTCATCTTTTAATATCTGCAATACAACCTTTTTGCTCCTCTTCCTGTAATTTAAAATATTTGTGGTCCTTATGAGTGTTATAATGCTGATGAGCATTGAATTTCTTTAATGTTGATACTACAGTATCACAAAGCAAGCGAATTATCTTATCTTTAGTAGAAACAAGATAATATTGCAATTCCCAATCCTCATTAAAAAATCTGTTTTCTTCCTTCAACATTCTCTTGGTATTTTTTGATATGATGGGCTGTTGAGCAGACAAAATTAAAAAATACTGTCGAGCTGTGCAACTATTCACAAATTCTATTTCAAATAGAAACACAGGGCACCGTTGTCAAAAGCTGGTAACAGACTAGTGTACTTGACGCCTATAAACTCTCGCCAACCAGCCTCATGTGGTAGTGGCACCAGTCAGGGAGGGGAAGTTAGAACTAAATCATGAGCATAGCAGCCGTCAATTTATCCCTTATGGCTTGCTAATGTTCTAATAGTGCTGGTCGGTCTGGGAGGATTATTTCATTGAAACCTATTTTATTCTTTGGTATTTTAAATATGTTCATTTTAAAAATAAAAACATAAAAGACGGACAAAAATGTACTAACAAAAATAAAAGCATTTGTTCTGTAAAATTTGGATTCAGTCAGAAGGCCTCACTTATGAACCTAGAAGGCCACAGGTTCTTCACCCCTGCCCTAGGACATTGTCATCCTTTTCATCGCTCCCACTTTCTTCATTTGTGTTGATAAGTTGGCTTTCACTAAGTTCCTCTGGCTGTGGATCTAGAGGCTCTCGAACGGCGGCAGCGGCAGTATCCCACAGCCACCCTCTTTCTTCCCGGACTCTGTTTACATGCCATTCAGATTTCAATTCCAGCATTAGCTTTAATTTTATTTATTTATTTATTTTTGCTATACTTTCATCTTTGTAACTGATTTCCTGTTTTGATTTTATAAAATGTCATGTGGGTTGTATCACTAGGAGACAGCACAACTAAACACTCTGCTGTGTGTGAACTGAATAACAGATGTGCAGTGACCAGTCACTCACAGACTTTGAAGAAGTGGCATGATTGGTCACCAATTATGATTTGGGGACTGAAGTTAGTAGTGAAATTTGTATTTTATACAATTACTCAGAGTTAATATGCCATGGCAGCTGAAATTTGAACTGTGTTCTTGGGACTGGTGTCATTTGACAAAATGGTGGCAAGAAATCCGTGCATAACAGAATGTGCAACATGAGGACTGCCTATGTTGCAAATGTTAATGTTTCTTTTTTTTAGAATAGACAAAAACATTAAGAAAAAATAAAACCTGTGATATTGACTTGGCTTTCACTTTAAACATTGTTTGGTCAGTTAATATGTGAGGTGGAGAATAGGAGCTACATACTTGGTTCCAGAAAACAGTGTTTAAGCAAAAATGTATGTATATCCTATGTGAGTTATTCTGTTGGACTCACAAAATTGTGAGGCAGGTTCCTGGTGTTCCCCTTTTTTGATACATGAGAGGGTGCGGTGTGGTGCCAATTTAAGTAATTTGAGTGCAGTGCAAAGAGCGTAGGTTTTGGGGTCATACCTTAGATGTGTCATTTAACCTCCCAGGGCCTTTGTTTTCTCACCTGTAAAATGGAGATGGCAGAGGGCGGCTCTCTGGGGCACCATCTTAGAATTTTTGGAAAGATTAAATGTGAAGAAACTGTGGCAATGCCTGGCACATGTTAAGTGTTCAGTATTCTTTACTTTCTAAACGAGAATTTATCATTTAGATTTGTTTCTCACCGTTGTTTGGCATTTATTTTGTATTGTCCAATTTGACAAAAGGAAAAGGAATGATTTTGGAATTAACACATTTATCATAACAATGTAAAAGCATACGGTAGAGATAATAAGTAATGTAACCTGTCAGCCTAAAAAGTGGTTAATTTTAAAATGGTAACTTAAGTAATTTCTCCCAGTTGTATCAGTCATTTTTCTCAGTAATGGTTATTTTTGATTTTAAGGTAAAATTAGGTTTGTTTTGTTTTTAAAGGGGTAGTTCAAAGGATATTTGTGTTTAGAACTTTTGACACCTTTTTTTGATGAATTTCTCTTATTTATTTTTTGAAATGATCCTTGTAAAGCGTAACGTATCTCATTTTATATACAGTATGTTCTCTATAAACCCTAGCACACATTGGCTTGCTTCATTATACTGTCTCATGAGTTTCTTACCCTTTTACTTTCCTATTAACTGTCTTTTTTAAGATAGTGAGGCTTTTACTTAATTGTGATTGTTTGGTAAGTTTCACTTTAAGATGCTTGTTTTCAGTAGTATTTTTCCAGAGTTAATCTGAGATGACAGACCGAGAACTTTTGACTCTTTTCAGTAATATAGGGAACGACAGCCAATTTAAAGTAACTAGCATAAAGGTTAACATTAAGCCATCTCTGAAAATGTACATCCTTCTGCTCTTTTTTCACATGTGGCCTATTGTGCAAAGCATTTGACTCCTATCAGTGGAGGATGTGTGACTCACATTTATCACTTTTTTTCTTTCCTCTAGCCACAGAAGAGAAGAAGTCTCTGAAGCGAACATTTCAGCAGATACAAGAGGAGGAGGATGACGACTACCCTGGAAGCTACTCTCCTCAAGATCCTTCTGCAGGACCCCTCTTGGTATGTCTTGACCCCCAAAGAGTGGGGCAGAGTGGCTTGAAGTGACCTCTACTAGAAGAGGATGGCCACAAGGTGGCACCAGTGACCAATAGTATGGAATTGCCAGAGGGCATCTCTTGGGGTGCCAGTGCACGATCCGCCCCCAGTGAAGCTTGCCAGACAATGGGCTTCACTTCATCTTTGCATCCACAACTCCGGGTTAGGTTTTTGTTATTAATATAAAGTACTTGGACTTGGTTTTTTCACTCCTAGAAACTAAAAATATTCTTAAAAAATAGATTTTTGTGAAAGGGATAGATATTGTTATAAAGATACTCAGAAGTCTTCTGCCTTGGCTCATCTCCAATAGCATGGTGGTTTTATAAGTAAATAACTCATTAATGTCTAAGGACGGTCAGTGTGCCAATAGCAAATTTGCTATACTATAGCTTATTTAAATATTAAAACAGGGAATTAGTCTTTAACCAGGTGTTTGCATTGTTTGGCCTTTTATACAGGTTAGCTCATTAACTCTGCCTTGGTTCATTTTCTCTATTTACAGTCAAAGAAATTGAGGCTCAAGGAGGCTATTAAAAAACTTGCCCAATGTCTTAATTTGAATCCAGGTCTTTCTGACTTCAGAGTCCATGCTCTTTTCAGGGGGCACACTCCCTCCTCTTATTTTGCCTAAAACAGCTTTACTTCATTGCCCATGGGTGTATTTAAAGCCTATATAAGTAGGAAGCATGTCTGGTTTGTGTTCTGTTAAAATGTTAGCCAGGCCTGGTGGCTCATGCCTATAATCCCAGCAATCCAGGAGGCTGAGGCCAGAGGATCATTTGAGGCCAGCCTGGGCAACATAGCACAACCATGTCTCTAAAAAAATTTTTTTTAAATTGGCTGGGCGTGGTGGTACACACCTGTATTTCCAGTGACTTGGGAGGCTAAGGTGGGAGGATTGCTTGAGCCCAGGAGTTTGAGGCTCCAATGAGCTATGATTGCACCCCTATAGTCCAGCCTGGGTGACAGAGTAAAAAAAAAAAACCAAAATGTTGAATTAGACCAGGGATTAAATGTTAGCAGTGTTAGGTCATATATCTTTGCATTTAAAAACTTTGAAAAGAACATCCTGAATCATCAACTTTCGGGGTAGTCTAACTGCCATCTACAGAGGCAGCTACTCCTTGGTCATTATGGACTGGCTAACCTGTCAGCATTTTGTGTTTTCTGATAATTTAAGAAAGCCCTTTTTGATATACACAATACACATCCTTGGTTTACTTTTCTCTTTTTCCCCCACTTTGTAATTATGAGTTTGACACATTTAATTTTGGGAGCAACATTCATTTTGTAACACAAACCCAAGAAAGAATTGAAGTGAGTTGTATACATTTCATGTAATCAGTCAATATATTAATACAATTGGTAAACAGCTAGTATATGTATATACCTTTATTCTATACTAGAAACTATTCCATACTGGGAATAATGCATCATTTGAAATTAAGCAATATGTACCAGACTTCATTTTCTTAAGTTGCCAGAAACATGCTCTTTTAGATTTTTTTAAAAGAATTATGCAAAATTTCATTCATGTCTTGCCATGGTCTTAGAAAAATTAATTTTATACATTCTCTTAGAATCCATGTCATTGACTTCTGTAGAAGCTCTGAGACTAAACAATTTTTTTTTTTTTTTGAGACAGAATCTCGCTTTGTTGCCCGGGCTAGAGTGAGTGCCGTGGCGTCAGCCTAGCTCACAGCAACCTCAAACTGTTGGGCTCAAGCGATCCTACTGCCTCAGCCTCCCGAGTAGCTGGGACTACAGGCATGCACCACCATGCCTGGCTAATTTTTTCTCTGTATATATATTTTTAGTTGTCCAGATCATTTCTTTCTATTTTTTTTTTCGGTAGAGACGGAGTCTCACTCTTGCTCAGGCTGGTCTCGAACTCCTGACCTTGAGCGATCCACCCGCCTCGGCCTCCCAGAGTGCTAGGATTACAGGCGTGAGCCACCGCGCCCGGCCAAGAGTAAACAATTTTTTAAAAAATGTCAGAAGCAACTGTTTTTAGAATTCGCCTCCACCTCATTTAACTCCAACTAATTGTCTTTAAACCCCAATGTGTTGTAATCGATAGTATTGTTTGTGTTTTTATTTTTATAGACAGAGGAACTAATCAAAGCTTTGCAGGATCTGGAAAATGCCGCATCAGGGGATGCTACTGTCCGGCAGAAAATTGCTTCTCTGCCCCAGGAAGTACAAGATGTTTCTCTGCTGGAAAAAATAACAGGTGAGAAAGTGAAAGATGGGAAAAGAGGGACATATCTGTAGTGCATCAAACCCTAGGACATGCTTATGTCTGTAGGTATAGACTTTCCATGTTGTATTGGGTGTTCTGCCATCTTGGGATTTGCAGACATAGCTCACATGCTGAACAAAGGAGCTTTTGGAATAGTCAAAGCTTGAATAGTGATTCTAGGAATTATTGCAGAAATGCTGGCCTGCCACAACCCATGGCACTCTAAACAAGTCTTTTGAAAACACAGTACAAATTGTATGTGCATCGGGCAGGAGGTGGGGATAGGCATTATCCTATCCATTAAACTCATGACCCTCTTACTAAAAGAAAAAAAATTTATGACTCAGCGCTGTATGATTTCTGCACAGACAAACCCCATAGATCATAGTGTCTTCAATGCCAAGAATTCCAGGTGTGTGTTGTAAGTCATGTGATTTTGTCCTAACGATCACCCCCAATTAAACGGGGAGGAGCAGTTGACATTATGCCCACTTTGTACATGGGAAGTTGAAAGAAAGAAATGAAGCGTGAACTAATCTTTGTAGAGTATGCTCTGTGCCAGGTACTTCCACTCTTCATGGTAATCTTTGGAGATGGCTGAATGTATATCCCCATATTGCATAGGAGGAAATTGAGGCTTTGAGAGGTTGGGAGTCTTACCCAGAGTCACACAAGTAGTGGATCTTGGGATTCCAACCTAGGCTGCAAGCCTGTGCTCTTCCCTTTACAAAAGCTCAGACCTTTCATTCCACTGTCTTCCAAGGGCCACCATTTTTCCCCTCTAGTCCCTTGACTTGACTGCTCCTCTAACCTCTTCCGTATCCATCTAAAGGAAGTCAAGCTCACACATGAACTGTTTCCTTCATTCAACAAATATTTGAGGCCCACTGTGTAGTGGATGCTCTTGGTGTCCCACTCATGTCCCCTCAGGGGTGAAGTGTCAAGAAGAAAAATGAAGTAGGAGTGTGGGGGGAGAGAGTGATGCAGGAGACAGTATTTTGAAGTTGGTTAGGGAAGGCCTTTCTGATACGATGGCCTTGAGCAGAGACCCAAAACATTTGGAAGCAAGCTGTGAGTATATCTGAGGGAAAGAAGTGCCACCAGACAGACAGAGGGAACTGTACATAGAAGGACCCCCTGGCAGGGGATGTGCTTAGTTGGAGAACCTTCTAAATCAGCATAAGTGTTCTGCGCCCTCACGCTGCTGCACAGCCCCAGCAGTTCACTCCATGAGACCTGCAGTCTGTTGATCCCACCACCTCTTCCTAGCCCTCAGTCCTCATTTTCTTCTTTACTCACATTAGAGTCTTTATTGTCACCTCCTCCCATACACCTTCAACCCCTTTTTTTCTCTTTCCCCCGTCAGTGTAGTCTCCTGACAAAATCCCTACACTGGTTAAATCCGTTCCATTATTACATTATACTGCCTCATTTGTTCTTACTGTCAAAATCACAATCTGCAAAAGTTGGAAGCAAATTAATATAAAGCTAGCAATGTATGTGATTTCATTTCTGTTTTCACTGTCCTAAAGGTCTCATGTAGCTTCTTTTTAAATTTTTTTTAAATTTTTAATTGTGGTAAAATACACATAAAAGTAACAGTTAAGTAGTGTTAAGTACATTCACATCGTTGAGCAACCATTTTCCAGAATTCTCTCCATCTTGCAAAACTGAAACTCTGTACCCATTAAACAATAAACATTTCGTCTTTCCCCTATACGCTGGAAACCACCATTCTTTAATCCAACTTTTCATCTATTCCCTTCCCATATCTACGCAGCTGAACTTGGCTGGGAAAAAGAAGTAAAAGTCACGCCTTAGCTGACTTTTCCTCTTATCTTACTTCTCTGGATGAAAGTGCTGCTTTCCAAGCCTGCCCCTCTCCCTGTGTGTTAGACCTACTCAAGGACATTGCTCTAACAGTGCTTCCCTTTTCTCCTGCATCTTCTGTTTTTTCTCTCTACTGGATCATTCTAAATAGCAGAAAAACATGTGTTTTTTCCCATGTGGGAAAAATTTTTTCCTGACCCCATATCTTCCTCTAGCTACTGCCTCATTCATTTCTCCATTCTTTTTAGCAGAACAGCCTGAATGGATTGCCTACGCTGTCTCCACTTCTCCTGCTCCCATTCTTTCTTGATTCTGCCTTGCAGAAAGAAACTGCTGTCGAAATTGCTGATGACTTCCTTGCTGCTAGATTCAGTGGTGGATTCTCTTATCTTCATCTTAACTTGACCCCAGTAGCATTCGGCTCAGTTGATTATTTCCTCTTCCTGAGAATACTTTCTTCACTTGGTGTGTGTGGTAGGTGGAATAATGGGTCCCCCAAAATGCCCATGTCTTAATCCCCAGAACCTGTGAATGAATATGTTATGTGGCAAAAGGGCCTTTACAGATGTGACTAATTTAAGGATCTTGAGATGGGGGAGTGTCCGGGCTATTCAGGTGGGCCTAGTGTAATCACAGGGGCCTTGTAAGAGTGATGTGGGGGGAGCAGGAGTCGGAGAAGAGATGTTACTACGGAAGCAGAAGCTGGAGTAATGTGCTTTGGAGGTGGAGGAAGCGGCCACAATAAAAACATTTGTGACGTTTTAAGCCACTAAATTGGTGGTAATTTGTTACAGCGGTAGGGAATTGGGCCTGGCATTGTTCTGGCTTTCCTCCACTCTCTCTGGCCATTGTCTTTTTAGCCTCCTTGCTGGTTTCTTCACTTCTCCTTGACCTCTTCATGTTGAGAACTTAGCCCCCTTCTCTAGCTAGTTTCATTGACAATTGGTCTCATCCAGTTTCATGACTTTAAATTACGGTTTTTATGCTGATGGTTCCCTAATTTACATCTCTAGTGTTGCCCCTTCTGCTGGAACTTGAGACCCATAGATTCACCCTCCTGCTCAGTAGTGCCAGTCCCAGAGGGATGCTGTCAGACAGCAGTCAGATCAGTCTCCCCTGCTCAAAGACCCTGTGACTCCCTCACCACATGGAGTAAAAGCCAGGCTGTCACTGCCCCTGGTCTGCCCCCTGTCCTTATAGACTGCACTCCTTTCCCTCCGTCCCTGCTCAGGCTGTATGGGTGTGGGCTCCTTGCCAGGCACTCCTCCCTCTCAGGGGCTCTGTACTTGCTGTTCCCTCTGCCTGGAATGATCCTCCCCAGGTAGTTACACGGCTTGTTCTCTCACTTTGTTCAGGCCTTTGTTTACAGATCACCTCAGTGAAGCCTACCCTGATCACTTTATGGAAAATTTTGATCCCCCTTCCATTGCCTCATTCTTTCTCCTCTGCCTTGTTTTTCCTCTATAGTTCTTATCTCTGGCTGGTAAATATGTATAGTATTGCATTGTGTCTCTACCTACCTGAGAATGTAAACTCAGGGGCAGAGAATTTTTGTCCATTTTGTTCCCTGAGGACTCTGAGAGCCTAGGCACAGAGTAGGAGCTCCAGTATTTGTGAAACTAATTAGAAGGTCTTGAGCAGAGGATTGGTGGGTATAAAAGCCTGGTTGGAATGGGCTCAGGAGAAGAGGAGGTGGCTACAGGGAGCGTGAACAACTCTCTTGAAGAAAGGTTCTGCTGTAAAGGGGGAGCAGGGAGCTGGGTCAGCGGCTGGAGAGCGATACGTGGTGGGAACACACAGTAGAGTGTTTGTACGCTGATGGTAGAGCTTCAGGAGAATGTGCCCAGGTGGGGGAAACGCAGGAGACAGTTGTAGAAGTTGAGTCTTTGAGTAAGCAAGAGGCAGTGGGGCGTTTGTGCACAGGTAGAGAGGGTTGGCCGAAAGAGGCTTGCAGCCACTCTTGTGATGTATGGGGGAGAGCAGAGCACATGAGTACAGCCACAGGTGAGTCCCCTGAAGCGAGCATCTTGCTTTTGTGTTTTGCCTGTGTTTTTTGTATAACTCATTTAACTATTACAAGTTATTTTTTGGGGTTATAATTACTCGTATAAATGAGTTATTTCCCTTGTACAATTTCTTGAGGGTGAGAATTGATTTTTTTAAAAAACCTTAAATCTTAAAAATGAGCACTTTTCCTTGCCATTTTTTTCCCATAAGCACCCAAACATCTTAATAAATTAACCATTAAAGAAAAAATTCAGATAGTCAAGCAATGACAGCTAAAACGAGCCACCGAGCCAGAGGATGGGTTTTGCAGCCCTCTTTACTGTCTGTGACTGAGATCATCTCTTCCCTTTGTGCTGTTTTGCTCACTCCTTCCCTTTCACCAAGGACATTCTTTTGTTCCCTATCCCCGTGGAGGATAGAAGTGCCTGATCTTCGGCATCAGACCAAATTTAGAATCCCTCAACAGTTCTTCTCCCAATATTCACATTAAGAAGGCATCCAAAAGCCAGATGACTGTTTGCCAAACAGAGACGCTGTGTTAGGAGTTCCTCAATCCCAGTTGCCCAGGAGAATGCCCAGCGCTCTCGCCTCTGACCACCTGTAGCAATGGGGAGCGAAGGATCTGTATCACCGTGTAACTCACCTTTAGTTTGTCCCAGAGAACTGCTGCAGTCTCTGTGCTCTTGTTTCAAAGCACTAACCTACTATGTTGATCTGTTAAGGCCTTTTAAAATGAGATATACATACTTAGAGTTCTAATCTCACTGCTACCCACACATAATTATATCAGTTCTTTATAAATATAAGTGCTTCTTTTGTTTCTTCTCATTCCCTAATGTTGAGCCTTTGTTCACTACTTGTTTCTGAGAGTACCCTTTCTCATATTTCAGCACAGTTTTTTCCCCCCAAAGCATGAGTTGCAACCTTTAATTGGACATGAAATCAGTCCAGTAGGTAATGACCAACATTTCTTAAAAAATGGAATAGAATAAATGATAGAACACTTTTAAGGATAAATACTGTTTTATGAAACTTCTGTTTCTTTTATTTTTGTATGTGTCTACACATCCAAAATTCTGACGTAGGTCTTGTTCAAAAATATACGAAAGCCTGTTTCTTATTAGACCATATGTTTTGCTGAATGCAGGAGGAAGACTTACACCCAGGTTCAAGGCTTACGTAGTTTAAGAAGTAGAGTCCTATAGATCCATTTTAGAGACCTGACTGAGTCCCAGCTCCTCAGTTGGGCACATACATATCAAACCTGTCATGTAGCTTTTTTTGGTCTTTGTTTCCACACCGAAGAAATGAGTGCATGCTTTTTTATTTCAGCGGAATATAAAAAAATTACTTAATGAAATGTATTCCTCCCTCCATAACTGTCAGGGATTGGTTCTAGAATCCTCCAAGGATACCAAAATCCGAGGATGCTCAAGTCCCTTGTGTAAAATGGCATGATATTTGATATAACTTGCATATCTCCCCATATGCTTTAAATCATCTCTAGATTACTTATATTAATAATACCTAATATAATGTAAATGCTCTGTGAATAGTTCTTCCATATATTTTTTAATTTGTATTTTTTATTGACTTTTTTTTTTAAATTGGTAGGGTTGTTTTGTTTTTTGGGAGGTTTTTTGTCTGAATATTTTTGATCCACTGTTGGTTGAGTCCACAGATGCAAAACCCATGGACACAAATGGCCAACTGTAATAAACAAAAGCACTTGAAATTCTCAGGGGCAAAGAAAAAATTATTTCATGGATGACCTTAGGTATCTCTTTGTGCTTGTTTGGTTTGTAGAGCTTTTGCAGGAATAGGCATTTAGAAGGCCTTTGCCAGATTCTCCTCGCTCCACAGTTGCCTCCCGTCAGGTAATTGAGAATTGTCCTGTCCTGTTGACAGAGTGAATGCCTTTGCATTTCTTGGTCAGCCAGCCCATTGTTGGTCCACAGGTTCTGGTTTATTCTTAGACTCTGTACGTTGGGCAAGAAACTGCTAACCTCCCCCAGAAATGTTTGCAGTCATACCTATGTGATTTGTTCATTTTCTCTGTTTTTTTTGGTCTCATTTGTACTTAGACAAAGAGGCAGCTGAACGTCTTTCAAAAACAGTAGATGAAGCATGTCTGTTACTAGCAGAATATAATGGGCGTCTGGCAGCAGAACTGGAAGACCGTCGCCAGCTGGCTCGGATGTTGGTGGAGTATACCCAGAATCAGAAAGATGTTTTGTCAGAAAAGGAGAAAAAGCTGGAAGTGAGTATATTGCAAGGTAGACCCAGACTTCCCAAGTTTCCCTTTCTGTAGCCCACGGTACAAAGTTTTTATTATACCTTAATTAACAACATTTTTATCTTTTAAAAATTCATGAGATGGTAACATCCCTCAGATACTATAATTATTTGAGCCTAGTTAAAAACTGGAGTCCTGTTTTTATATGTCCAGGAAAGAACAAATTGGATTGTAGGAAACAAACAGTGATCTTTTAATCATAGCCTGGATCCTAATATTGCTTTAGTTGTAGGTACAAAAAGAACAGGACGTCAGTGAAAGCCAAAGAATGTTGATTTGGTAGTATTTGGGAAATGCTTAAGAATGTCTTTCTTTTGAGTCGTTTGGACATTTATTTCTGACTTGTATCCATGCTAAGGCCAATAAGTCATTTGCCTGCAAGCTCTGTCTACAGGCAGTTCTAAAATTTCACAGTAGCATTTATGGAGCCCAGTTCTCAAAACTGTTGAGAAAGAACTCATTTCTACCCTGAGTTGAGGATATTAGTCTGAGTGCCCTTGGGGAGGGAATTCAGAAACATTCCTCACCATGCACTTGTTTTGGCTTCTTAATTAAGTACATCGTGGTTTAACCTCAGTGCTTAGTCCCTTGGGATAGCAGAGCCAGCAGTGTGGATGTTTGGGAACTCGTGCTTGCCTTCTAGGCTTCCTTTTCAGGAGTGTCTGCTTTTCTCTTTTTAAAGATGACATGGAAAATAGTTGCAGCTAGTGGTTTTGCGAAGGGAGGACAGTTCTGAGTTGGAGAAGCAGTCACATTATATTAACAAGGGATACCTCTTAAATCCCACTCGGAGTAGATGAGGGAGGGGGAGAGCTGCCTTCCTCCACGCTCGGGAAACATGTTCTCTGGCACAGAGGGAGGGAACACTGAAACACTGCGCTGGCTCTGTGGCTGAGGTAATTGCACTTGCCTTTCAACACAGCGGTCTATCCTGAGAGGGGAAGTGAGTGATGGGCAGTCTTTACCGTATCCTTACCTGCAGTGATTATGGGAGCGATGATGGGTGGTGGTAATGGAAACTTCACATTCCTGGCCAGGTTGAATATGGAAGATGGGAAACTGCTGTAAAAATACTATGGCTTGGATTTAGAAATCAGCACTGACCAGAAATCCTAAAGAGAGTTTCACAGGCAGTACCAGACGGTCATTTATCTGAAATGCTCATCTTTCACTGAGGAAGCATTTTCAGCACTGTGCCCCGGGACTAATAAGAGAGTGTAATTAATGATTCTGGTTGTAAGTCATCATGCCATCTGTCGAACTGCCCCTTGGCGACACATTAAGGGCTTTCTCTGATCTGTCAGACATTGATTATCATGAGCAGCTGTTGGGTTGAACGTGGCAAACTACCATAGAGGACAGAGTCTTCAAGAAGGAGATCGGACTGGTAGAGCTGGTTAACTCTTTGTTCTGTTCCCCTCCCAACGGTTGCACTTTCCTCTGAATACTTCTTGGGGAATCATTCAAGTTTGTGTAGGACCAGTGGCTTGCTGGATGCCACGAGGGTCATTAAGAGACAGAGCAGAGATTTCCGTGTGTCCCGTAGCTTTCCAGTCGCTTCGCTCTCCTCTGCGCATTCGCCGTGGAGTGGTGTTGGCATTCCACTGCTGGAGACGCAGAACAGGAAGCCCCACCACTGCGAAGTACAGAGTCTGAATTAAAAGTTCTTATCCCAAACCATGTCTCCCAGCCACAGGAGCAGAACCATTTATTGTAAAAATAGAGCTAAATTTTCTGCACTTATGACTAAGATGCAACATCAGATTTGAGAGATGACTTTAGTTCTCTCTTTATCCATGCTTGCTAAAAATGTGAACAGTTTGGTCCCCTGAATCTAAGATTGTTCTCTCACGTTCTATAATGGACTGGTCTTAATCCGTTAATCTCCTTATGGTGATGGTAAAACTTGATAAGTATGTGCTACTTGAATGATACATTCATACTATGAATTCCTCCAAAAGTCTCTTGGAGGCGGGTAGTACATAAGGTCTACCTATGTTTTTAACATTCATTTTTGTAACACAGCCAGTGCTTGCTTTAAAGCTGCCAAATCAGAATGCTAATTAAATCTTTTATCTTTTTAAATGATTTCATTGCCTTCAATGTGTGAAGACATAGAATTCTCACAGCTATTTGGAAATGTGATTATTTGCTTGGGGGTCTGTTTTCTCCCCAAAGTTTTAACACACTTAGGTTTGTTTATGTTTTCTTTTTTAAGCTTTCTCAGTGGCTCCCACACTTTGGGATGCAGGGAGTGTGATGATTCAGAGCCTAGGATGTGGGAAGGGGAGTTACGGAGACTGTGTTTCTGCCCTCAAGAAAATCATATTCTAGCATAAACAGCACAGGTGAACATAAAAGCAAACTGACCAATTGTACATGATGTGGATTAGGGAGGCAATTGGCAATTCTGATTGTGGTTTAAGGTAAGTCCAAACCTGTCAGACAATAAAGCCTTTCTGAAAAAGGAAATAACAGAAGAAGAGAAATATGTTCACAAATGGGGAGCAGCAAGACTGGTCCAAACAGGAACATGAAGAAAGGCAAAGAGACAAAAGACAGGGTGTGGGAAGGAAGTGCTGGAGACCACCAGTGGGGAATTAGGGTCTGTGCTCTGTACGGTGCTGTGTGTTCATTCAGGGACTCAACAAAAGCTGTGCTAGTCAATTGTGCAAAAATGAGCAAGATGCGCTTTCTTCCTCAAAGAGCTTACACTCTAGTAGGGAAGAAACAACAGCAAACAAGGAGTTAAAATAGAATATCGGTAATGTTCTAAGTAAGGGGACTATTCTAACATGTCAAAATTGAAATAGACAACAAAAATCAAAATGCTAATAATAACATATTCATTTGATAAGATGTTTATTTAAAATGTAAGGTAATTACCAAATGCCTGGGCAGTTTCTGAATATCATAATGCCTTTAGCAGGTCTTCCAAAGTTAACTTTTTGAGGAACCATCAGACTGTTTTCTACAGCAGCTGCAGCATTTTACGTTCCCACCAGCAATGTACACAGGTTCAGTTTCTCCACATCCTCATCAACATTTGTTACTTTTTATTCTAGCCAATCTAGTGGACGTGAAGTGGTCTCTCATTGTGGTCTTGGTTTACATTTCCCTAATTAATGATGTTGAGCATCTTTCCATGTACTTTTTGGCCATTTCTCTTTGGAGAAATGTCTGTTCATGTCCTTAATCCATGTTCGAATTGTTTGCTTTTTTGCTGAGTTGTAAGAGTTCTTTATATATTCTGGATACTGTACCCGTATCAGATATTTAATTTGCAGATATTTTCTACTCTTCTGTAAGTTTTCTTTTCATGTTCTTGATAATGTCCTTTGAAGCACAAAGTTTTTAATTTTTATGAATTCCAATTTGTGTTTTTTTTTCTTTGTTGCTTGTGCTTTTAGTGTCACATCTAAGAATCCATTTTTCCTATATTTTCTTTTAGGAGTTTTACAGTTTTAGCTCTTACATTTAGGTTCTTGATTCATTTTGAGTTTTTGTATATGGTGTAAAGTAGGGGACCATCTTCATTCCTTTGCGTGTAGGTATCCATTTGTCCCAGCACCATTGGTTGAAGAGACTATCCCCCAACTGAATGTTTGGCACCCTTGTCAAAAATCATTTGGCCATAGATGTATGGGTTTATTTCTGGAATTCTATTCTGGAACTCTTAATTCTGTGCCATTGATTTATATATCTATCTAATGCCAGTACCACACTGTTCCCATCACTGTGGTTTTGTAGTAAGTTTTAAAATTGGGACATAGGAGTCCTCAAAGTTTGTTCTTTTTCAATATTGTTTTGCTATTTAGGACCTATTATAATTCCATATGAATTTGAGAATCAGCTTTTTCATTTCTGCAAAAGGCCATTGCAATTTATTTCTGCTGCAGAATTTTAAAAAGCATCCCAGCGTGCCACCTACTGATGCATTTGACTTTATAAAGGCCCTGTCTAGATGCCATAGTATCAGGGACCACAGGTGGAGGTGGAGGGCAGTGGTATCACTTTTCGGTCGTTGGTGTTAACCCTCACTTCTAGAAGGTATGCATACGTACTTGTATGCGCTCAACAAAGTCACTGGGGCACAGTTATGACAGCCAGTTCTACAAAGTATGGCAACACATAGAGACCTGGTGGCTAGGTAAAGTCGTTAGGGTTATTGAGTTGGGTGGAAACTTGGAGATTGTGTAGTCTGACTTCTGAATTGGTGAAGAAATTCAAACCCATAGGAAGGAGTTAGCCACAGACCAGGAATAGAATCCAAGGCAGACATCTGGTATCTTCATCAGGTTTTTTGTTTTGATTTAGAAAAATTTGATTCTGCAACATCAGTAGCAGTAAACATCTTACACAGAAGAGTAGCCAAAGTTGAATCATTTAAATGATTCCCAAGAATCTTGTTTCAGAGAAATGACATTTTATATAAGAAGATAAAATGGTGGCATGAAAACATCTCAGTGTGGACTCCAAGGCCTTTCTAAGTGAAAGAACTCACTCTGCCCCTTAGGTTCTGAGTACCCTCCTTCCTGTACCTGTGTCCATGCTCTTGGTCTGATAGGAGGGGAGAAATTGGCTCCGTGCACTTAAAGCTGCTGCTGTTTCTTGCCAGCTTGGTACCGCCCCCTGGCTGTAATGAACCCTGAGGGAGCAGAGCCTTTGACTTCAGACAACACAGCTGGGAAGGGGGAAATGGTCCAGAATCCAGCATTGCCTTGTGACTCTTGTATTTCTGTTTGCATTGTAGTTATAAAACTTGAGAAATTCTTTGACTACAGCTGAGGGGGTTTCTAAACCAAACTGATGGCCGTCTGTTGTTCGTGGCATCGTCCCCCTCCTCCCTGCAGGATGCAGATGGTTAGAAACTTTTGTTTCAGTGATGGGGACAGGCAGGCAGTAGGTGGAGATAGCGAGCTCCTTTTTTGTCAGCTTTGGAGTAAATTCTCCCTCTTCCCCTT